AACCCTAAACCCCTGGAGGATCCTTGTGGATCAACCATGAGCGCATAGCGTGAGGAGCGGGTGACCATGATGGCATTCTGGATAGAAAGCTCATCACCTAGGGTTTTGGGCTTAGGGTTTAGGGTTTAGGGTTGAGGATTTAGGTCTGAGGATTTAAGGCCTACCCTAAATCCTAAACCCCAAACCGGTAGAGGGTTGAGGGTTTAGGCCCTCAGTTTGCTGGTGCTTGAGTGGGAGTGGGGGAATGAATGTAGGTACTATTATACTGGGGATATGCGGTGACTGCTTAAGGGTTACTAGAAGGATACACTCCCTAAACTCTAAATCCTAAACCCTAAATCAACGTAGGTACGATTATGGTGGGATAAATGGGGACTATATACAGAATATTATAGGGATCCACTCACACGCTCGCCCTTCAGCAGCAGTAAGTGAGGCTTCAGGTTTAGAGCTTTGGGTTTAGGGCCTGCGTTTTAGTTGTAGGATTTAGGGTCTGGGGTCTAGGGGTTGGGGTTTAGGGCCTGCGGTTTAGGTGTAGGATTTAGGGGGTGGGGTTTAGGTCTGTGGTTAAATTCAAATGGAACGATTGAGAATTGGATTGGCCAAGCATTATCAGGCTTCTAGGGCACGTAAAGGTTTCCATCTGTTGGGCAGAAGTTACTCGACTTCAAAACCAGCAGGCCGAAGGGCTTCATGTCTTGGGGTTTAGGCTCATGGTTTAGGATTAGTGGGGGGAGGGGCTTCCGGCTTAAGGATTTAGGGTTTAACATTTTGGGGGTTTAGGGTTTAGAGTAAAATTTTGGGGTCTAGGTTTCAGGGTTTCAGGTGTTAAGGGCTTAGGATGGACAACATGACCCGTATCCGTATGAGTATGTAAGGTTGGAACCTGGGGTCCCTAGTATGGGCCCTCTTGTAATCCTGGGGTCCCTACTTATATAGAGAGAGAGAGAGAGAGACATATGTATATATATATATATGTATGTGTGTGTACATAAATAAATAAATAAATATATATATATAACGGCTATATATATATATGTTTATATAGCCGTGTGTGTGTGTGTAGATATGAATAAGCACATGCACACACCCTCAAGGGCCCCTTGACTCGCCCCGAGAGAGCTAACTGCCCATACTCAGGGCCATACTTCACCCCGTGGGCTGTATGCGATAGTATCATCCTTCCACCATCCGTCCGTCAGACGCATTTTTCGGGTTGGTGGCTCAAGGTTTTACGGTTTGATTGCTTCCGGAGCAAGCGAGACAAGAGGCTCTTAGCTACGGAGCTCCAGCAAAGGTTCCCAGCGATGCAGGGGCCTACGAAGATGGACAATAGTAGAGCTGTGCAACACTGATACGGGGTGGATGGCAACATATGCTATAACTATATCAGGTTCATGACAGGACCATTTTGCTAGCTATTCACATCCTGCCAGTACATTCAGCACATCAAATCGCTCACACTTTTGTAACTATCATCTGCCGGGATCTATGATGTCTGGTCCCTTCGGGTCTTCCGCATTTCGAAGGGCACATGTGGAGGCTCTGGACTCGCAAGGTGCTGCCCATTGCAATTCCCGAGTCACAGTAATGATACTTGTGATGAGAATGCGGATGATTCCAAAATACAGGCAGTGCACAACGACAGAAATAGCTAGGACAGAAAGGCGTGGTTTTCAGGCTGGCCATCGGAATCATGATTCGTCATAGGAGTAGCATGCAGAAGGGTGCCCTAACCCCTAAACCCTAAACCTAAACCCTAACCCAAGCCTTAAACCCTAAACCCTAAACCCTAAACATGACCAAGGGATCCTGTACCCTGAGCTCTAAGAGGGTGGATCTCCTCCCCCAAACTGGCATAAATCCCTGCAACCCACCCGAGAGCTCCTAAGGAATTCCTTTTGTGGGTATCTTACTGTTCATGGAGGAAATCTTGCACCACCTTGAGTCCCTAAAGTCCTAGGAATTACAATAGTTTAGGGCCCCTACATGGTGCAAAATTTCATCCATCAACAGTATGTAATCCCTTTTTGGGTATGTCAGGGGTTTTTTAGGTCAGGGATTATAATTTTCTACCCAAAAAAGGAACTACCTAGGGGGTTGGGGTAGATTCTCCAAGGCCTGCCGTCAATGTAAACCCTAAACCTTAAACCCTAAGCCGCGTAGGCAGCTTTGGGGACTCCAAGCCATTTTGAGGGAGGATACTGGGAGGGTGAGAGGGACTTAGTAAGGACACTAACAACCAACCTGCTCGCGAAAATCCTTAAAGCCTACACCCTCTACTGTATATATATATATATGTATACAAATGTATATATATATATATGTGTCCCTACATATATCTCTGACCCTCTGAGTAGGAAAGGCGAACAAACATGCTCGCCAGTGGGCTTGGCAGACCCTCGAGCGCCCACTCGCCGATGGTTCCCTGGTCCACCAGGAAGGACACAACCTCCACCTTGATACTGAGAGGGGGTATGAGAAGGTAGGGTTTAGGGTTTAG